CCGTTATATGAAAGCCTACAATGAGTGTACAGTAACTTTTCCTATGTCCTTCCTCCTATGTCCTTGTCACCTTCTGGACATTTGAGCTCTTGCTCTGGCCATTCAAAGACTACTTCCATTAAGGAAGCTGTGTTTGCTGGCACTAAGCTTCTCCTCTTGAAATACAGCATGTTTTACACAAGCAATTCCCATAACTCATCCTGGTGGAGCAAAACTTGAGTCCTATCTTGCTAACAAAACATTAGATGTCACATACCTTTTTTGATAAATGACACCATGGCAGATTATGCAACTAACTCTATAGCCCTGAGCAATGATGCTCATATTTTCATCTATAGATGGCACAGCTTATTGACCACTTAAAAATTTCGATGAAGTAGCACTCAGATTCCTCAGCGTCAGTCTTTATTTTAATTCAGGGTGATAAATAGTCCACTCAGTAGCTGTCTGCTAGCTTCACAATTCCATCTTTTCCCTGGCCTTTCTTTCTGTCAATATCTCCCCTTTTTTTGTTTTGTTTAATTTAAAACAAAACAAAACAAAACAAAAACAACCCACAATTAAATCAGTATCTCCTCTTAATGGAAGTTCAAAGCTTTGGAAAAAGAAAAAAAATTATTAGAGAATATTGAGTCAAGTTTTCTAGGATGGCAGTTCTCACTAATATCAGGTAATATTTTCTTATTGACAATGTTTTACTTTACATTTTCAGAATTAGTTTTCCCACCACTTTATATGGCTGCCGTTCAATTCTACTTGCTCTAAGTAAATTACAGAGGAATATGTGCTGAGTAGGCATTTCGTTAGGTGCTGTGGGGCTCTTGTTTTTCATGGCAATATGCAAGGAGTGCTGGGGGCTTGGTAACCAAAGATCAGCCTTTTGAAGCCACCAGGTGCTCTGTGAGACTAAGAGGAGTCTCACCATCAGCTGGAATTGACTTGACAGCAGTGGGTTAGTGAGGATGTTTACTTTTGGTTCTACGCAAAGCTCACTAGATAGAAAGGAGATGAAAAAACAAGAGAGTAGGAAGATTAGCCTCTAAAGTATTTTAAAATAGATTTGAAAAGCTATATAATTCACAGCTATCATTATATTCAGTGGTGTAAAATGAAACAGTTTCTCCATAAGATGAGGAATAAGACAAAAATTACTCTTGTCACTTTGAGTCAGAACAACCAGGAAAGAAAAGGAAAGAAAATGATATGTATTTATATTTGACACAGGTGTGACTAGTTCTAGGTAATTTATGGAGAATAATAAAACTACAAATTTCCATGTGACTACAGGATTCAAAATTAATGTACAAAGAAGGTTATTTTTATGTATGAGCCAAGGGCAATCGGAAATTGAAAAAGTAGTACATATAAAAAACTCTCAAAGAGAAGAAAATGAAAATTAAGTGTAAATAAAAAGGTACAATATACTGGAAAAAATTAAAGATAATTTAACCAAATGGATAGGCATCCCATTTTTAGGGATTGGATTACTTAATAATTTTTCATTTGACAATAACTGCCCTTCAACATCTATTCTGGCTTCTTTAAAATTGACAAGTCCTTAAATCCATATGGGAATTCAGAATAGCCAAATTTTTCCCCCAAAAGAATCACATAATTGTAGGACAACAAAGCTATATGTAACATTTAAGAAAAAAAGCATTAAGAAATAAAATAATTTATAGTTTGGTTGTGATAAAGGTGTTAAAACCATACAGTGGGGGAGAATACAGTATTTTAATGTAAATGAACCAAAGTGGTTTCCTATGTATGTTATAGGCATTTATTTGTGGGCCACATGTGAAAATATGGTAATCTTCCAACAAGTAGTACTGGGACATTTAGAAACATACAAAAGTAGAAATTAGAACCCTACTTCACATCATAAACAAAAAATATGAACTTGAAGAAGATATAAGAGCTAAAATGATAAAATCCTTAGAAGAAAATATAAACTCCACTGCTGTTGAGTAGATCATGACTTATAGTGACCTTCCTTCAGGAGGACACTATCCCGTCTTCTCCTGTGGAGCAGCACGTACATTCAAATGCCAACCACTTGGGTTATTGTGTGCTGTTAAGTTTTCAGAAGCAGTGAATCACACAGGAGATTGCCTATCCTTCTCCCTCGGAGCAGCTGTTGGATTTGAACCTCATGCCTTTGGGATTGCAGTGCAGCTTTTTACTACAAGAACACCAGAACTCCCTTGCCACTTGGATAGCCCAATACATAGACAACTGTGTTATCAGAGCTCCCTGGACTAGGTAACAGTTTCTTAGATATATTACCACAAGAACAAGAAACAAAGGGAAAAACCCCCAAACTTCAAACAGAAATCTGGCGTCATCAAATTATAATATTGAAAAATCAGAACAAAACCTTTATTTTAAGCATAGTCTCACTCAGCCTTCTGGCAAAAGTTAAAGCCAATGACTGTTGTTGTTGTTGTTGTTATGTGCCGTCGAGTCGT